CTGTTAATCACTTGTCACACTAAAACCATGTCTGTCAATCATGTCTCACACTGGGTGGTGGTATGTCTGTCAATCACTTGTCACACTGGGTAGTGATGTGTCTGTCATGGAAGGTGGTGGTACTTCTGTCTAATGCTTCTCACTTAAAACCACTGGTGGTGTGTCTGTCAACCACTTGTAGCTCTTACCACGCAACTATTTTGATTGGTGACATAACTCACCTCACCAATTCATTTTTGATCATATATCTCACCACACAACTATTACCTCAGTGTGTTCTGCACTGGACTTTCACCACACAACTATTACCTCAGTGTTGTGCACTGGACTTTCACCACACAACTGGGTGGTGGTATGTCTGTTGTGCACTGGACTTTGTCACAACTATTACCTGGGTGGTGTGTGTGTCAATGGACTTTCACACTGGGTGGTGGTATTGTCTGTCAGTCACTTGTCACACTGGGTGGTGGATGTCTGTCAATCAACTATTACACTCAGTGTTGTGTACTGGACTTTTACCACACAACTATTACCTCAGTGTTGTGCACTGGGACTGTGTCACAATCAACTGTTACACTGGTGTTGTGCACTGGACTTTCGTGGAACAACTGGTACCTCAGTGTTCTCACTGGACTTTTTACCGGTGTGTCTGTCAACCACAGTGTTCTCTTAATGGACTATTTACCACATTGGTATTACCTCAGTGTTCTGCTCTGGACTTTTACCACACAACTATTACCTCAGTGTTCTGCAATGGACTTTCACCACACAACTATTACCTCAGTGTTCTGCTCTTGACTTTCACCACACAACTATTACCTCAGTGTTCTGCACTGGACTTTCACCACACAACTATTAACTCACACTGCAAGATGTTTATTGATTTAAGGACCAGTTCAAACAGAATGTGTTTGTGCAGTCAACCCAGGATATGTGGAAGGTGTTGATTGTAAACACACACAATGTGCTGATCTTTGAATGGCATTTAGAAGTTATACGCATAAGGAAGGGTCCTTAGTGGTTGGTGAAGTGGTCTTCCTCACAAAATTATACAGAATCAGCATCCAAACTTGGGTCAGTTGATAACACAGTTTGTGTATACAAGACCTTTCAACTTTATAGTAATATTTCTTTATCATCCACTTAAAAATTGTCTGTTACTGCCAATACTGTTTAAAATATAATAATCCATGATCCAGCCATAAGTAACATTGTAAAGATATTATTATTCACTCATTTTTCAATAACACAGCTGTGATGTTGCACAGACACTATAACAGTTTAATATATGCCACCATCAAACTATTTATCAGCGGCAGTCTCACCGCCAAACATCGATGTGGCCATTTTGAATGCCAGTGCGCATAACAGGACATCTGTGTTGGATGATAGCATAGTTTGTGGGGTAGTGAGTCTGGGATGAATTAAGCTGAACTATTTTTGCAGTCTTGATAGTGTTTATGGGAAGGGGGGGTCCATTGATTTTGTACGTTACATGCGAGGAAGGGGAGGTCACTTGCTTTGTACATAAATTTTAGGGGGGTCATTCACATTGTACATACTTCTCCATAAGAGTCATCATCACCCCCATCCCCCCACCCCCAGCCATAAATTATGAACGGTCCCTTGCAGGTTTACCTGATTTTTACTGATTTATTCAACAATAAATTGAAATGACATAAGTGTTGTTTTGTTGTTAAAGTTTAACTGGATCATCACAAAGGCACACCTACATTGTCTGTCTGGAGCCCTATGGCACCCTTTGAAAAAATTGCATTTCTATCCGTGTCATTGATGCCGTATACTATACTGTGTCAAAGTTATTCATCCTCATGACCCATGGACATCACATCACTTGTGTCACATGTGTCAAGGACTTTACTGGATGCACAAAGTCCCCGAACTCCCTTGAGTGCTGCTTCACCCAATATGTCTTCCACTGAATGTGTGGTTGAAGAAATGCTACAGGGGGCCTTGGTTTCAGCCTGATTTGATGTTTTCAGATGGCAGCTGTTACTATGTCATGATAAATCTGTGTTTCTCTGGACATCAGAATAATATTTGTTTTATTATTTATTTCCCATAATACTGACTTTGTATCTGCCAGTATATAGCACTAATACTTAATAGATTCATGACGAAACATCTGCGTGATAAGCATGTTTATTTCAAGGTAATATCATTGATATTTGCACAGCAATAAATGCCATTGCAAATGCTCATCAGCCAGTTAGTTTTATTAACACATAAGCTTTATGTAACCACAGATACCATATTTTGTGGCACTCCATGATCAACAGATTCATGACAAAACCTTCATGTAAGAAACATTTCTATTTCTGGATTATAACATTGAAATTATGTGAATACTCCAGCACTGTGATCCATGAATGAGTGGACAGTTGTGCTGGAGTGTTTTCATGGTCCAGATACACACATTCCTTGTCCCCCAACAAAGCTCCCCCTGGTTGTTGCCTTTACCTGTCACTATGTACCCACCTGTCCTAACCAGCCCAGTCACTGTCCTACCTGGCCCTATTGTCCTTCGCCAGAACTGAGCCAACAGGAACCTGTTGCATAGGTAGTGAGGGCTGGTGGTTGCCAGGGGGAACCGGGTAAACAAGTCCGGAGTTCATGGGTCATGAAGAGATCTAATTAAAGATTAGGCGAACTGCGCTGCAATCAATCAATTGTTTGTGGGAAGTAGGTATTGTAGTGTTGAGCAACATGTGAGCTAGTGTTTCCTCCTCCATTGTGTCCGTCTGCTACTGTGACAGTACAGCAGCAAACCATCCGGACTGAGGGAGGGAGGGTCGTGTTTGTGTAGTGACAGTAACCAACCTTAGGCAATATGGCTACCATGTATTATAGACCGTACACAGCAGAGGTAAGTCTCTTCAGGAATGTTCGTGTCCACCAACTGCTTTCTTATGTATCAGTTTGGAAACATCTTGGGTATAACCTGATAACTGTTGAAGATATGGTACTTTCTTTAAGAAAACTGTTTTGAACTTTTAGAATGAAGTCGTACGTTGTCTTCTATTACATTCTTAGCAGTCTGCTTTTAAACATGTATTGGTGTTGCATGTTCATGTACAGAACCTTTATTCTGATAGACAAAAATTTGCCCTGAATTTAATTCTACAGTGTTTTTAAATGAAAATGAAATGATGTTCTATTTGTTTGGTGATGGTCTTTAAAGAATATTGTCGCAAAATCTATTTTTATTTCAAAGCACTCTGACATAACCAATACCTTTCGTGAATGACTGCTATTTAATTGCTATTCTTGTTTTATAAGCCATGGCAAAGTGCCATTATTATTCTCTTTCTATAGAAAGGAAATTTTATCAATTTTGATTCAGTTTCAATCAAAACTACATGATTATGCATCGAGATGATTATCTTCATTCTCTGCCAGCCCTTATCAGGAGCAGTGCTGGGCTCTGCCATTGTGTGTGATGTAAACATACAACTGATCTGATGTTGAAGGGAACAGCATTAACCTGATAAGAGGATTAATCAGCTAACACGATTATACTGGTCATGTCGCCACATGTGTATGTTAAATAAGAAGAGTGTTTATACACATTACAAAGCTGGATGTTATCATGGAACAATGTTTCAGGGCTACTTATTGACCCTTCATCAGGTGAATGTCAGATAGAGAATGACATACCGGTATATGCAGTTGGGATTATATACATATAAAGTCACAATTAAAAGGGAATTAATTGACATAACAATTAAAGTGATTGTTATTACATGACTGACCTGATAGTGTAGAATAATATTAAATACTGACTGCTTTGTTTCTAGTGGTGTTGGTTTGCCTTGCTGGAAAGGAATTATTGTGCCATTTTAAATATTCCATGGGTAGCTCCAGCCATTGCTGTATGTATTGGATACACATGACAGTTATGATAGTTTTATCACTTATAGCGACAGTTGACTCTCCCGTTGTTCACAGTCAGTGTTAGTTCTCAGTGAATTCTTAGTTACTGATGAAAGGATAAATTGTCAGTTAGCAGGCTCCACATCAACTTTGAATGAAGTTTATACAAACAAACTTATCAGTTCAATACATAGTTTTACCTGAAGATATCAACTTGCTGTCATGGCAAAAACAGTCCATTATTACATTTTTGTTTGAAATGATATTTTTAGAAAGCCTTGCTTGATGTGCTGTCAGATAACAATTTCATGATGCAGTTCTTCAAGTATGAAGTGTAAATGAGAGATTAATTATGCACATCACCTAGCATCATTGATTAGCTTCTTGGCGCCCAGGCAATAAGATTTCTAATTGCGTTCCTAGTGACTGCTCCATTGTGTCTGACCCAGTACATCACGCAATATGGCTACAATGAGCCTTAGCATGATTAGAAACACATGACTTGGCAGGGCAGTAGGGAATTACGAGCAATGTTATACCAGGGAGATATTGATCATATCACACCCAGCCACAGCTACGGTAGAAGTAGTGAATAAACACAAGTAATGTTGCTGCTGCTGCTGTTGTTGTTGTGGTATTTTGGGTAGGTGCCACATGTTATTGAAACCCTTGATGTATCACCTCATTGGAGGAACCTTATAGAAACAGCAAAGGCATATTTAGAATCTCTTATTGGAAAATATGAGTAGTAAAATAGATATATGCTGTCTATGGATACATGAAAGATTATATGGCCTGTTGAATATGATGTCATATTCCAAGAGCAGATTTAGAGTGGGGGTTGTGGACTTGGGAACAATAAGTAGTCTTGTCAGCTATCAGGAACCTGGGCAATATTATCAGAAACTCTGCATAATGAGCAGGAACTTAGGCACTATTAACTGTCACCAATAGCAACCTTAGTGCCATTGGCAAGCATCTAGTCCCTATTTCTGGAACTGGGGCACTTCTAGTATTGAAGCAATGCAGAAAGTTATTATTACACTTGGTAGTATGTCACATTATTCTTCACTGCCAATGCACAGAATGTTTTCTTTTTCCTGCAGCCAATCCGTGATGGTGAGTTGCCCCCTTATGAAGCTATGGAATCCATTCTGCCAGAGTATGAATACATCTTCAAAGAGGGTGAGAAATCATCTCGTACATATCGCAAAGATCCGCAGTCTAATCGCACTCAGCATCAAACTCAGCGTACTACAGTAACAGTGGGCCCCAGCAGGTGCGTTTACTTCAACCTCCTCCTGCTATCTGAACACATTTCTATCTACATCATATTTTACAGGTTATCAAGATCACAGTAACCAAACTCCCTTATGACCAAACTATTTCTTTATCTGATCTACCAGTTTTATGCCTTATTATTTGCAGTGGATGTCCTACCACTCATTGTTTCAAGACTGCAGTTAACTCATTTCAGAATACTGAATCTTCTTTTCTTTTCAGCCATGTCCATCCTTTATAATGTTATATTATGATGGTTGGTAAAATTTTTACCATAGGTCAAGTGTGAATGAAAGTTGTGAGAAAATTCTATCTTAGGTTTGCTAGCAGCTTATCACTATTCATGTGGATCTTTTGTACTGTGTGTTTATACTGTGTGTTCTTTCAGTATGCATGTGTGTGTGACAGTTCTATCTTGTTAAAACTCTGAAACCTTCCTCATGATTTTTTATTATTCTCCAAGAGGGCAGGGAATTCCCTGGTTCCTTTATCCCTACCTAGTGTAACAGAGATTCAGTAATAAAATATCAATTACAAAACAAAAATGTTTTATGCCTTATTTTGCCTTTTCAGAGATATTTGGTAAAACCAATTCCTACCTGTTCATTAATTTTGTATAAGATGGATAAATATATAGAGTGATATAATAAGATGACACTTTTCTCTCTTTTACAAAGACGGACAGACTATGACCCCACTGTGACAGTGGTAGATGCACAGATGCGTGAAGTGGACAACTATCGGTCGGCAGTGACGCGTATGGGTCACGATATTGTCACTCTGAGGCAAACGGTGCGGTCTCTGGAGAATGAGAACAGTCAGCTCCGTGGAAGGACCTACAACGATGCCACAGAACTCATCGTAGACGCTACTGTGACGGACAACCTCAGCAAAAATGACCTTACATCTAGATATAGTAAGGAGGGACTTGAATAATTACACAATGTTTACTAGTGGCATGTGCCCATGTGGGAACTATTTGGAACTTCCCCCCCAAATTCAGAAAAAAGAATGCCTATTTCCACTAGCGCTGGGAGGGTGTCTATATCTGGTCACATGGTGATGTGAACACACTACATTCTTATGAGTGAGTGATTGAGTGAGTTTAGTTTTACGCCGCTTTTAGCAATATTCCAGCAATATCATGGTCGGGGACATCAGAAATGGGCTTCACACATTTTACAGATGTTGGGAATCGAACGCGGTCTTCGGCATGATGAGCAAATGCTTTAACCACTAGACTACCCCACTGCCCCTCTTACCAACAAGACTATTTTGATTCTCATACTTTATGACAAATAGCCCCAGTTGTTAAAGACAGCTTTAGTATTATTTTCTTATTTGATAATTCTATCCAAAGTGATGCAGTGATATCCCTTTGTCTTAAATTTGTATCAAAACTGATAATGGTATGCTTCAAAAGTAACAGTTTATCGTCTGTCACCAACATGTGTTGATTGTGTGTGTGTGATAGTTGTTTGAATACTTCTGTTTGTTTTCGGCAGCCTCCCTGAGAGAGAAGTTTGTGTCACAGACATCCACCTTGAAGGCATACAAGGACAAGGTGCAGCAGCTGCAGAATGAACTCATTAAGGTATGTAGTACCACACAAGCAGTGTCTGTCTTGTTCTGGTCTCTTTGTTATGAATGAGAGCTGGCTAACGTCTACACATCTCTGTTACAGTGTGTGATCAATACACAAACTGTGCTGTTCACTATAGGATCATGAAACAGGGGACAACTTTCATTAACTAATCACACGTAATGGAGTTACAGTAGACTCAGCTCTAAGATGTATCAACTTACCTGTACCATAGAATTAAGATGTCTTTGCACCAACATAATTTTAAAGCATGACACTGCACCTACTCCTGTTATCAGTGTGTTGTGACTTAGATACATAGATTATACTAAAGTGAAGAGACTGCTTCACAAAACATGAACTTCAGGTGAACCTTGTTAATGGCACTTTGATGAATGCTCTTTGGAATTATGAAAAACAAGTCATATGACAGACCCATGAGCACTTCATCAGTACACAGTGATACTACTATGTTGGTGGAGAGATTCCCGATACAAACATGCACTTGGTGAACTTGTTCTGTATGTGACCTGAATATTTAAACTGGCTATAAAGGTGGGTGGAACCTTGATGTGGTTTTGTGTGTTGTAGAAAAATGACCGAGAGAAGGAGTACTTTGAGGATGTCTCAGGCCCACTCGGGGCAGCAGGAGTTGTTGCAGAGGCTGCAGGAGAAGATCCAAAAGCTGCAGAGGTTGGAGGAGACCATTCGCAAACAGGAACGCGTCATCGAGAAGCTGGAACGTATCATATACAAACTCAGGAACAGTAAAGGAGGTATGTCATCTGGAAAACCATACATCCTTCAGTCATGTAATAGTCATCACATAGCACAAGCTGCAAGTTGCAAGTTGATGGTGTACAGTATATTAAATCATTAGCAACAGATTATTCTATGAATCTATGAATAAGAGATAAATGCTACCATTTGGACATAATAAGAACCCTTTGGACTTAAAATATTGACTGATAGGATCAGCTATTAAAACCTTTAATTCATTTTCAGACACAGAGTGGTAGTGAACAAAATTAGTTCCAATGTGAATAAATCTAATCTAACTGGGTAGATTGTTATATACACAAGAAAATCTGGATTGTCATCATGTAAATTTTCAGTTTGGGTACTCATTACTTACACATGTATCTAAACGTTGGTCAGGAGGACAGTTAGGGAGCAGGGTGCTAAAGGCATTTAATAGAGTTCTCATTATCCTTCCATGAAGTCAGGTCTACAACACTGTGTGAGTTGGCCCCCTCATGAAGGGGCTGCAACAGTTTCATGTTTGGTGCTATAATCCTGTAGCATGGACAGATTAGAGAATGTTTCAACTGAAGAGTTAACCCAAAATCTCTGTGATCAAAAAGGGACATCACTCATGACTTTTAAACACTTATTTTGTTTCTTCCTCAACCAGAGGGTGTATCTGGTGACTTTAACAGTGCAATGGCAGAGGAGAACCGGAGGTTGAGGCAACAGATACTTGATCTGCAGGTTTGTACAAAACTTCTTTGTGTATTCATCATGCTGAAACTACATCATGAGTTCCTCGTGCATCAACCTTGTGGGGATTCTGGTTAGAACGGTCAGTACCCAAAGTTCATCATAAAAGCCAACTAAAGTTAAGATCATGAGGCTGCTTGAGTGTCATCAAGCCAAATGGCATTGATTATTGCTCATGCCATCGACCACATGTTTGCAGCCGTCTGGGGATTGAATGTGGAGAGTATGTTTATGGGTGACTCACTTGTAAACCCTTGTGACCTAGATGAGCATGAATTATCGTATCTATTGTGGTTTGTAAGCTCCATATTTTACAGGTAACCTTTGCTGAAAAGACTATATATTGAGGATATCTTTATCTTCCTCAACCACATGTTCAGTGTTCTGAGTACATGGTGAACATATACATGATGTTCTTCCAAAACTACCCACTCATTCCTGTCACCTCTTCTTCTCCAGGAGCAGCTGAAGAACTCGGGCCGTGGTGGGGATGACTTGGAGAAGCTGGAGCTGTACCAAGCCCTAGAACGTGCAGAGGCCCGCATCATGGCGCTTGAGAAGCAGGTGAGACTGTAACTGAGAACAGGTTAGATCCTTCAATACTGAAACTTCTAAAACTGTTACACTACTGAAACTTCAGTCTACTTGATTTGATATGGACTTGAGAAAAACAAAAATCTTTTCTGATTTTGAGTTAAAGTTTCAAAATTTCATTGAGTGTAAGTTGACTACCACCAATCAGACCTGTTACTAGCCCACTTTAATAGAACAGGAAATAATTCTCAGATATGTTGTCAGACTTGTATCATTCTGTCTTAACGTCACAGTTACTGGAATGATCGGCGGCAACAAGTTCCCATGCTGTGGTCCTGAGTTGTTTGTTTGTTGTTACAGCTGTCGGAAAACTCTCGGAACTGGGGAAGGGAACGAGCAGACATTTCTATCAAACTGAATGAGGCAGAGCATGGCCTGGGGAGGAATGCTACATTGGTCTCCCATGAGTACCCCACACTTGTACGTTAATCTTAAACAATATCTAACAGTTTCTGTAAATCCTGTCTTGACATACAAACAGCATCGCAGAGTAGCATCATGGTTTTAGCATTTACTCATTAAGCCAAAGGCCTGGGTTTGATTCCCTACATTGGTACAATGAGTGAAGCCCATTTCCTGGTAAAACCTGCTGTCTTTGCTTAAATATAGCTAAAAGGGAAATATACTTTCACTCACACACCTTACTGAGAGTCACCTGGCTATGCTGAGACAATGCTACATGTTGGTCATGGTTTATACAGCCTCCATGTTGTAGATGTGTGTTATATTCAACTGGACTGTTCATTTAGGGACCGTTCATTATTTATGGCTAGTGGGGGTGATGATGATTTTTATGGAGACGCATGTACAATGTGAATGACACCCCACCCCCTACCCCCCTAAAATATATGTACAATGTGAATGACACCCCACCCCTACCCCTAAAAATATATGTACAATGTGAATGACACCCCACCCCTACCCCCTAAAATATATGTACAATGTGAATGACACCCCACCCCTACCCCCTAAAATATATGTACAAAATAAGTGACCCCTCTGCATGTCATGTACAACATCAATGACTCCCCTCCCCTACCCATAATTTCTAAGCATAATTTTAAACATATTTTTATGAACAAAATTGATGACCCCCCTAGCTCGCCAGAACAAAATGGGTGACCCCCCTAGCCATAAATTATGAACGGTCCCTTATCATATATATTTCACGATATATAAGTCCCCCTAAACGCTGAGTTTGTTCTGTAGTAATTAAGGTGCAGCACTTGCTGTTTTGTCTACATGTATCCTGGTTTCTGTGTCTAGGATGAACTGCGGTTGCAGCGCACGCTCCGGTTGGACCCGCTCCTGAGATGAATCCAGACAGTCCCAGCAGAGAGTACAGAGTGTAGATGCACTGCTCCTTCATCTCATTTCAAACAATTTACTTTATGAACCAGAGTCTTTCCCTCGATTAGTAGCTAGGAACAACAAGAAGAATATCCAGCAGAAAACTGGTGTGGACATCTGAATTATTTGATGCAAGGACATAGCATCACAGTGTACTCTCCCCAGGAAGCTGAGAAGACCAATGGAGTAATATACAGTGCCTCTAAATATAAAACTAGAGTCTCAGAGAAGGAGAGCTGCTGTTGCCAATAGCACCAAACTGATCTATTATCATTATAGTGCTACTTTGTATCCATTGACACTTGCTGTCATCTGTGCCATACATGTGCAGGTCAGATAGTATATACTTATACAAGGATCAGTCTCAGGTCAGGATCAGACACTTGCTGTCATCTGTGCCATACATGTGCAGGTCAGATAGTATATACTGATCCAAGGATCACTCTCAGGGGATGGAGCTGTGGTGACCAGTGCAAGTGTCAATGACCCCAAGTGAAGATGATATTTGTCTGCTACAGGAAATATACAGAATCTCTCCTCGTTAACAACTGACAGCTATTTGCTCATTTGATAGTCTGTGTACAAAGAATATCAACAAATGGTCTGTTGTGTATGGTGGGTCCCGAACTGTGTGCTCCATCCCTGCATGTGTAGTCCCTCCATAACTGTATGGCCTGCCCCTAACTGTGTGTGGTGGGTCCCGAACTGTGTGCTCCATCCCTGCATGTGTAGTCCCTCCATAACTGTATGGCCTGCCCCTAACTGTGTGTGGTGGGTCCCGAACGGTGTGCTCCATCCCTGAATGTGTGGTCCCTCCATAACTGTATGGTCTGCCCCTAACTGTGTGTGGTGGATAAACTGTATGGATGTGTATACAACTTTCATGAGAAGAAATGTAACTATAGTACTGTCGGTGGCGGAAATAGAAAAAAAATGTATTTTCTCATTTATCTCTACAATTTATGTAGTTGATATGTGAAAATGTGAAATATCTGTTAAACTAAGTTCTACCAAACTACAGTCTCAGTGGTAGGGAGATAGGAAACGGAGAAAAAGGACTTTACTGAGGGGAAATTAGTGCAGAAATGAGCAATGTGTTTTTTTCCTAAGTCCAAAAACACTTATGTGGAACAGACCATGGCTTTATGCAAATTAGTGTGCGACGATATTGTATTACAAAAGACACTTTTTAAATGCCCAATTTGAAATTAGACGTAGATTCATTATAAACGATAGCTGACGTAAAAAATAATAACTTTTATGCCGAAACTATAAAGGATGTAGCTACCATGCAGTCTCACTGTCACTATAAAAAGAAACAGATAGGAGGGGTCGCCTCAAAAGCAAAACCTTGGGTTGGGCTTGGGGATAGATATACCAGCTAAGATAAGATAATCCTTTAGGGCAATTATACTGGGGAGGTACACGGCATGTCATAACAATTTACAAATAATATCCAATCCTGTCGATCTTCTGGTGGTCATGCCACCCATATACTACGTTGCGTTTCTATGGTTTTCGGGTATCATACTCTCTTACATATCTCAACATAAACTTTATGAAAGAAAGACACGTAAGATGTTAATCAGTAGATGAGACATAGTCAACACACATGAAAAAGCACAAAATATCTTTGAGATGACCCCTTGTGCCTGTAGGCAGCACGTGCATTTCATGCCAGGTGAGTCGACGGTCCGTCGTCATACCTGGCTGAGCAACCTAATTGCCATCTATAGTCTGATCTATTGTTTTCAGCAGCTATTTGTATTTTTTCTAAGTTTTGCCCGATTTTACGAGTAAACATGCTTTTCTGGATATCGTATTACGCATCCCACTGAACGCCCAGTTAGGCCGAAGTGGGTTATTTCGACATATGCTATTTGCAATTGTGTCAATTTTAGGGATACAGAGTAACAGCCTAAAAACAGTTTTTTTCTATTTCCAACAGTACTATAGAAGTATTTTTGTAGCTATTTCCAGACAGTCTGAAAGATAAGCCACCTCTCATGTTTAAGAAGTAAGATAGGAATTAGAAAATATGACAGCTGAAAACAAACAGCTGACAATTGAGCTTGAGTCTGATAGATAGGTTATAAGCATCCGCCATTAGTCTATATTGGAGATGTGGAGATGTACATATGTGAATAGTGTCCAATCAAAATACAAGGAATCTGTGATGTCACACCTAGTCACATGACTTATGTAATCCCATGCTGCTCCATGTCTTGGGGATGTTGTGCTGTAAGGAAAATTGGGTGACACAGTGTGTTCCTCATTTATATTATTGCGTGAGGAACGTTGGGTGACAGTGTGTCCCACAAGTACCTTAAAATAACTCTTTTTGTGTTGTTACGTGCTGTGTCTAACACCTCACATTTGTGTTCTGTTGGAACATGCTGTGTCTAACAACTCACATTTGTGTTCTGTTGGTACATGCTGTGTCTAACAACTCACATTTGTGTTCTGTTGGTACATGCTGTGTCTAACAACTCACATTTGTGTTCTGTTGGTACATGCTGTGTCTAACAACTCACATTTGTGTTCTGTTGGTACATGCTGTGTCTAACAACTCACATTTGTGTTCTGTTGGTACATGCTGTGTCTAACACCTCACATTTGTGTTCTGTTGGTACATGCTGTGTCTAACAACTCACATTTGTGTTCTGTTGGTACATGCTGTGTCTAACAACTCACATTTGTGTTCTGTTGGTACATGCTGTGTCTAACAACTCACATTTGTGTTTTACTGTTACTTGTTGTGTAGCAAGAACCCATTGCCAGGGTCATAGCTATAGGGCAGACAGACAGTTTGATAATACTTGATACTTGCAGTATTTATTCTGTTTCACATCAGTAGAGATGCCAACTCCAAAACAACTGCCAAACCAAACAGATAACAAAAGCTAGAAATAGTCCAATGTTCTTACACACTTATCTCCTTAGATTGGAGAATCATTTTCAGATTTTATTTTGTTAATTTTTAATATTTTTGTAATTGTACAGCCACGCTATTTATTGGTAGTACATTAATGCCCTGCATGATAGAGTGCTTATGTAAATACATTGTCCTTGTATATGTTGTAAATACGTAGAAATGTAACACATGGCTGAACCTGATGAATCTATGGATTTATCATGTGTTGTGCACAGATGTATCTCTGCCTTATGACAATAATAATAAATATTTAATAATGAACAAAAAATCATGGCATATCTGTTTGATTGGCATTTTAGAAGTTGATGGATAATAGAAAAGTATAATACTTTATGGATAACAACTTCTTTATTTCTTATGATGCGACGTTTCAGTATAGCTTCTTATACCGTTCTCAAGCAACTTTTTCATGGCATATCTGTTAACAATCTGAATAACTGAATTTGTCATTGTACAAAGTATTGATATAGGTTTCCTTGAAATTTATTTTAGTGATTTGAAAGCACGTTAACTATGTATGTACAATATATGGCATTCCAAGCGATGTGCATTTGTCCGATGTATCCTGTCATGGATATTTGGTGGCAGGACAAAGTTCAGTGGTTGTTATCATCTATATTAATTAACAACACATTTCCCTGAGAGGATATGTGTTAATCCTAAAGAATTTACAAAACACAAAAGAATAGAGAGTTCAGTGGGTAAGTCTAGCTAAGGAAGTCTGAATCTGTTAATGTATATTGTTCATAGTTTAAATGTATATAGCTTCAAACTGTGTTGTATCCTTTTCTGTGGTAGCGAATCTCCTTGGAAAGAACAGCTAAAGGATAATTATTTGTATATCTAGTACTCAGTGATTGTAAAGGGTGGATCCATATTGGCTGAAAGGCTGTCCAGTGATCTTCCCGAGTCATGTATACTTGGACCCAGTTGTCAAACTGCAGATATTTTAAACAAATACATTTTGTAGCAAACACTACTTACAGTGTTCAATAAATTATTTTTACCATTTGATTTGTCTTGTTTGTGTGGCTACAGCAAAAGGTGAAGATACAAGCTTCTGAGTGTTGGGATTGGGCAATGAGTAGACATTACTGCTAGTGGAAGTTACTCACTTTGGCTGAAGTGTGGTTTTAACAAAGCTAGAAGCATAATCAGGGAAATAGAAGCAACAGCACCCTTTCCACATACATAAACAACCTCTGCTGAAAGCAGTGTCTTTGTCATGAGCATGTGTTTATGAATCACTTTCAAATAGTGATGATACCAGGTGGTTGAAAATGGGGCGTGTATACTGCACAACTTGTAGTACCCATCATAAACACACGTGAAGTCCAGTCAATTGTTTACCTGAATAAAGCCTGAGAACATGATACATCTCAAAATAGGGAATTGCATTAGACAATCAAATTTGTCAGGTGGTCTGTAATAACTGTCTGAACCATGAGGTCAGGTGGTCTGTGATAGCTGTGTCTGAACCATGAGGTCAGGTGGTCTGTAATAACTGTGTCTGAACCATGAGGTCAGGTGGTCTGTAATAACTGTCTGAACCACGAGGTCAGGTGGTCTGTAATAGCTGTGTCTGAACCATGAGGTCAGGTGGTCTTTAATAACTGTGAACCATGAGGTCAGGTGGTCTGTAATAACTGTCTGAACCACGAGGTCAGGTGGTCTGTAATAGCTGTGTCTGAACCATGAGGTCAGGTGGTCTGTAATAACTGTCTGAACCATGAGGTCAGGTGGTCTGTAATAACTATCTCAACCATGAGGTCAGGTGGTCTGTAATAGCTGTGTCTGAACCATGAGGTCAGGTGGTCTGTAGTAACTGTCTGAACCATGAGGTCAGGTGGTCTGTAATAACCATCTGAACCATGAGGTCAGGTGGTCTGTAATAACTGTCTGAACCATGAGGTCAGGTGGTCTGTAATAACTGTGTCTGAACCATGAGGTCAGGTGGTCTGCAATAACTATCTCAACCATGAGGTCAGGTGGTTTTTAATAATGATGTATGAACCATGAGGTCAGATGGTCTGTAATAAGGATGTCTGAACCATGAAGTCAGGTGGCCTGTAATAACTGTGTCTGAACCATGAAGTCAGGTGGTCTGTAATAACGATGTCTGAACCATGAAGTCAGGTGGCATGTAATAACAGTCTGAACCATGAGGTCAGGTGGTCTTCAATAACTGTGTCTGAACCATGAGGTCAGGTAGTTTGTAATAACTGTGTCTGAACCATAAGGTCAGGTGGGTTGTAATAATGATGTCTGAACCATTCAGTCAGATGGTCTGTAATAACAATGTCTGAACCAGGTCTGTAAAAACCGTCTGAACTATGAGGTTAGGTGGTCTTTAATGACTGTGTCTGAACCATGAGGTAAGGTGGTCTGTAATGTCTGAACCATAGTCAGGTGGTCTGTAATAACAGTGCCTGAACCATGAAGTTAGGTGGTCTATAGTAACAATGTCTGAACAATGAAGTCAGGTGGTGTGCAATAACAATGTCTGAACCATGAAGTCTGGTAGTGTGTAATAACAATGTTTGAACCATGAAATCAGGTGGCGTGTAATAACAATGTCTGAACCTTGAAGTCAGGTGGTGTGTAATAATGTCTGAACCATGAAGTCAGGTGGTGGATAATAACAATGTCTGAACCATGAAGTCAGGTGACATGTAATAACAATGTCTGAACCATGAAATCAGGTGTTGTGTTATAACCATGTCAGGGACTGAGCAACAATCATGCAATGAAACATATATTACAGAGACAGTTTACCTCACCTGTTTTGGTTGCAGCAATAGATTGCCATGGAATCTGAATCATGGGATGCTAACATGGCCTGGATACCTGCTGATGCTCAAGAAAAATTAAATATCCTTTTCAGCTATGTTAAAATGTGAGTCCTTTAAATGAACGTATTCCACAACCTCACAGGAGAGGCAACCTAGAGACGTCACCAAATAGAAGTCTCAAGGTCAACAGCCAGGCATTCCACATTGAATTAAAATCTCTGGATTTAAACAAGCTAGTTCTTTCACACTGCCGAATTGTAGTATCCATTTAAAACAAGATACCGTACAATTAAAGTTAGTTGTATTGACTACATGTACTTGAAGATTTCACACAGGCTTCCTATAACCTAGGATCCCTTGTCATGACATCCTCTAGGACAATATAAATGTTTTATCAGAACAAAAGCCATTTGTTTGTCAAGATTAATATTGATCAAAGCCTGTCCTGTTTCTGGTCATTTCATTCCATGTTAAAAGTTAAGACAGACTGGTTTAGGCTTGGCTCTTGCTCCTCCTCATCGGATTACTACCTTGTTGCAATATCTGTGTTCTCATCTGAGTCAATGGCAACCATCCCATATACAGGACCAGTCTCCCATCAATTAGGATGATTCATTGTTTTTATCCAGAATAAGAACACAACCCATGTATGGACTTTAAAACAATACACTTTTATTTATACAAGCCACCTGTGAATAGGCAGCTCTGAATAAATGGCTAAGTTGACTTTCCACATACTTGCAACAGAAAACACATACAGTATTGAACATATCATCAGCATGAGGTGCTATGAAACTACATGCAAAGACTGCGTTGGGTCTATGTACATGAAAGCAAGTTACAGAAAGACTGGCTGACACACATTATAGCCACAGATGTAGTAGAAAATTTAGAACAATTTCAAATCTCCCCACATGATGTTTGAACACAAAGATCATGTACAGTCTATCTGCATTATACACACTGGAAACTGGGGGTGGGCAGCTGTACTGGTTAACACATACAATATTCTAAATCACAGACTGACAGAAAATAATAAATGAAACAATAGGTCAATCATAATGACCTCGTACAAAATTTGACAATGAAATGATAACGAATGTGTGTACATGATTCCAGATAAGTATCAGTTTCCATTTCTAAAACGATCCCATATGACTGTAATGTGAAAATTAAATCACATCAAAATGTCTAGTTCAACTGAAAGCTAAATATCATTATATGCATTATTACCATATAATCTACTCTCATGGTCAAGAGTTGAATACATGATTGATCAAATGGTGACACTACTCAGTCTGTAATGTCCTTATGAACGTCTGTATGTTCTACAAAGTATAGAGTGGGAGATGGGTAAATAGTTTCTACATGTACAAGTGAAGTGAACACAACACACTGAACACAATTCAGGACATAGCTGTTGTGATGTGCCAAATGGCAGCCAAAGTTCCTCAGTATCTTGTTTCTGTGTGGCAACAAGCTCATGTTTACATACTTCAGACCTATCTCTTGAAGCAAAGACCATATTATCAAACTTATTTCAGTTCCAACTCATGAAATACAAAGGCAATGTTGTATTTTTCCCCACAATTTTAAAACACAATCCCACATATGATATTTCATATTTATTACCAAAATGAATTAAATAAGTATCACATGTAAGGTAGAAATGACATAACTTATCCCTCAAAGAACATCCATTCATTTCCTTACTGCTTTGAATTTGGATTTGAGAGAAATATCTTGATTCAATCATTACCTGATTACATTAACCTAAAAACATACCCAGTAAAACATGAGATACACAACATTGGTTTATCAAACTCCTTGTGTCATCAGTTGTACTACCTGCTGTTCTATGTAATATTGTGTGAGCTTTGATACTAGCAAATACAATCAACAAACTTCCCTAGGTGGGGCATGAGTTATCTCCCCTGCTGTCAAAGCAAGGGTCTGAGCGACAACATCAAAGACAGTTGTATCTATTCAATTATCTATTGCATCTTGGTCATAATGCAACAACAACAAAACTGCAACAATTGTAACACCACAAGAACTGTGCTGGGAAGGCCACCATACTACACCGAACGAGACAGGAAGAGTTACACTTTCATAGATAATATACAGCCAACAAACAAGGTGTCTAAAACAGTTGTGGTATGAGTGCAAATGCTTGTAATTTATGTAAACAGTTCTGGTATGTGAGTAAATACTAGTGATTTATGTAAACTGAAAACAATGCAGTTGCAGACACATTCCTATCACTGCCATTATGCCAAATTCTGGGCAAACCCCGTCTTCCTAGGATATCTTTTTTCAAAATAGAAAAAAAGCATTCTAAAAGCATGAAATCAACATTTGGACTGACAATAAACACTGAGATACTTCACAAGTTTCAACAGTATGAGAACGGATATGTTGTGTCCTGTGGATGAATATTTAATGCTTTTATACAACTGTACTACGATAACTCCTGAACATGAAACACACAAGTTTTGCAGCGTCAACCTTTTATTACAATACAAATGCCAGGGCCCAACTCCACATTCGTTCTTTGTGCTGCTATGACTAGTGTATGTATGTAGTGTATGAGAGTACCATAGTCTTAACTCTCAGACCGGGTTGTGGAAATGGGTCCAGGTGTCCTTAATATCACCATCATAGATGTATTCCAGTAAAAAAGAAATCCCTCAGCACGTGGGAAGTCAATTTTTATTGTACACATTAACGAGTGACAGATGACCAGTAATATTATGCCATGTATTCAACGAGGGGTTACACACTCAACAGTCAATAACAGTTTTCAGACTTTACACACACTAGCAATGGTTTGAACCAAATGATGTCTTCTTTCACTCAATGACTGAACCTTTCCCAAGTCTCCTCACAGTTGAAAATAAATAATCTTGGAGCATCATACAATTTAGATAAAACTTTCAAAGTTAGGAACATATTTCCGTTAAAGAACTGTTTTGATTTGGTCACCCTGCAAAATATAAAATAATATCTGGAGTTTTGCTGATGAACAAACGTCAGAATATCTATTAAATTTTTCATGGTCCTAAAATATTGGGTTACCAAGGTATATAAACAAATGCCTTTTGCAGATCTGAACGAATTCCTAATACAGGTCTATTCTTAACAATTATTCCACTATTATTTGATCTATATTTAAGCATTTGGTTTTGGTTTTTTTACTGTATCTTCCTTGTAGAAAGCACATGTGAAAACTCTCCATCATAAATCTTATTATTCAGTTGTCAATACAAAATGGAAATGCTTGACACAGTGAGACCTTAATTATCCAGACACCCTCAGTCAAAATACTTTGCCTAGTACATTTATGAAAATGTCTGAAAACACAAGTCTCCTAACATTGACACAATCACTGACCAAAATGGCTTAATATACATAAACTTGGTTCAAACAGAATGGACAATCAAAACGCATATTGATGGACTGATAGGGTAAATATGGCACCACCCACATTTTTGAATGAAGTTAGATGCTAACCCAAGCCAGGACATAGTAATAACAGAGAGAATCAAGAGTTTTGTAATCACTGTTTGCCAATCCAAACAATGTATATCTAATTACATACCTGCACATAACAGGTGTCAAGATAACAAGGTTTCACTGTATAAGCAGGTAGATCATGTATACACAAATACACATATATTTCATACTAAAACCATACTGGACATGTGTGGACAATTTTGATCAGAGACACATAAATGTCATATAGGTAACAATATAATGAAAATACAATAAAACACTAAATCAGGAACAAGTTAGGATTTCTATTAAAAAAAAAGCTGGCAATTGGCATGTTTACATCAATTTTGAATCAAATAAGACTGAATTCCATTTAAAATGAGACAAACCAATTTAAGGATTATCAATTTCCTGAGAAAACAAAGCAAAATCTGTTGATAGTTCTAGAAAATTAATTCGTTCACCATCTAAACAGATTACTGATTTAGAGAACAAGAATGAGTGAAGCTGATTATCTAAGAGACAAGTTAAAATTCTCTGGAAACAGCAAGGAAATATGATTACCTCACACTTGTTCAGTTACAACTGATACACAGCCCTATACAATAACCATGCACTAACAAACACAAATGTTTCCACAGGACCATTTTTCAAAATTATTAGTCTTTAAAAAAACAAAACAATTGAAATAAAATCCCCCAAAGAAAAGAACTTACCATCTTATTGCTAACATCAAACCCTTACTAGAGCAGATGACATAACAGAAATTTGTTAGTAACCATGAAATAAAAGAATTACCGACAGAATGGCACATACAGTTTGCTGTTTACAATGTTCAACAGCTACACGGAACTTTCTGGTTAAAGCAGGAAACACTACTGAAGCTGTTAAATTTGCTTGTCTACAAGTTCACAACAATTGCTGCATGTGATACCAGAATTTTCAGACAGGTAATTAAGTGGCAAATATAAACAAATGAAATTCTACACTACATATAACTACAATAGTTCTAACACCATAATAGCACTTCACAAATATTATTTGACACAAGGCCAAACAATAAGGACTTTCAGTTGAGAACTGACACCTCTTATGGGCCACTAGTTTCATGAACTGGGTGAACGATCAGTGATGCCCATGAATGAATTAATTATTCTAACTGTTGACACAGTTCCACAATGAACTGTGATCATGTGTGTACAAGACTTGCAAGATGAGTATGAAGTAAGTGAAATGAGAGCTGAGTGACAAATGTGTAACCATATCAAATATCGTCTTGACACATTGTTATCGCTGGCAAGACAAAACGACAATCTTTGCAGTCACTACTCATTTCTGGATCCACACTGCACAAGGTGATCTTGGTGCTAAGACTATTGTAAGGTTATGTCACTCCAAGAGTTACAACAGTTCTAACACTAACAGACCTGTGACAAGCGCACCTGATGTTGTTTGCTAACAGACTTGACAAAATATCATGCCTGTCAATTTACTGATCAATTTCTGTCTTCAAATTCATTTTTAAAAAAGCCTATCGTCAGTACCGTCATCATTGAAATTCAATATATAATAACGTTCCTTCAACACCAGGCAATGATCAGTGTGCAACAAAACCAATCTATACCTTCTTGTCATAAATTCACAGAAAACAATCAGCTGTAGTTTGTCATGTAATATGTCGTATTTACAAAAACTACATGCGCAAACAACAACCAAAAGTGTAAGGATAAAAAATTTACAATTTAAAGTGACATTTCTCGAAGGAGAAAATGACACTAAAACAAATATCAACAGGCAACAAAGACATTAATAGATTTAAGTTATGGAATACTTCGGAAGGCAGAATTCTCTTCAACTCACTCTCAACTACACTCTTAATCCAACCAAGCGTCTTGTCTTAGAATAGTTTAGGACAACATCTCTGCGTTGATCCTTTGACAAGAAAATAGAGAGCATTTCTTTTTCGTCTGAGACTAATGTTGAGAGATGATTACACTGATTATGTGTTCACAAATGGTATGATATAATATATATATATGTATATATATGTATATATTCATATATTTCTCATGATACATGATCAATGCAGATGTGTGATGAAGGTAATGGCAAAACAGCTGTTTATTACTACACCTTATTATCTCAACTGTCCTAAGAATGGACGAAACAAATAATAAATGCCATTTCAACTTAGTATTAAAGCATTATCACAGCTTCAAAAGCTACACATACCATAACTAACGAGAGTTTAATGACTATGTCTGGGCAACCGTCACTATAGAGCTTCAAATTAAACCAGGGCAAAAAATATTCTTTTTGGCAAATGAGCAATAATATGCTGCCAGTTTATCTTCAGAGAGCTATATATATTTCTCTGATGCCGAAATACAAACATGCCATAACAAGCTTGATAAAATAAAGCTATTGATAGAATGTAGCACAAATTAAATAAAATCTTAACAATTGTCAGAGGAGTCCAACAAATGGGCCGCAATGTTCACCCTATTATTCAAGCAGCAAAACATGGCAATTTTGATACCGATAGTTTTGAGCCCTGCAAGCACCTAAATGATCTTCTTCTAGTATAAGCTCAAGTATTTTATTATCATGATTGTCCAAATTTTAAAATCAACTTTACTGTCAGCCCTTGGCGTAGTTCATGTTTGGATGATAATGCTACTAAGTCATCATATTACCTTCTCATTAATCACTTGTGACACTGTCTTCTACAAACTTCCTAACATATTAAAATAGCTTTTCAGTCATATCTCATTAAGATGTGGACTTACCCAACAGTAAAACCTGTCCTAACCTAAACATTTGTTTAAAGGACACTTGTCTAGTCTTGACTGCACAGTTCAATCAGTGTCCCTATCACAAGTCCAACAAAAAGCACAACTTCAACTATGGCATCGCTTTCATCCTCTGTCCCTCAAAACCACTTCCAGCAGTAAAACAGTTGAATCACCATCTGTGATTATTCTATTAGCTTGCTTCACTGGTCTCAATCTTAACGCGTTTAATTTCAGTATCTTCAGATTTTCCATCAGCTGAATCCGTTTCTCTCTTCATGGCTCGTGCTCCTTGGGCAACACTGGTCACCTGGAAGAAAAGAAAGCCCAACATCTTAACATTAAACAGCTTCACAGAGTAACAAACAATAAAAATGACGTGAATGAATGTCAAGTTTTTGCCCTAGCAGCCTGAGTAACCTGCCCCATATCATCCAGGTTTGACCTTGGTGGCCAGTGCTTGCAGCCAGTGTTACCTACCACATATCCTCCAGGTTTGACCTTGGTGGCCAGTGCTAGCAGCCAGTGTTACTACCACATATCGTCTAGGTTTGACCTTGGTGGCCAGTGCTTGCAGCCAGTGTTACTACCACATATCGTCTAGGTTTGACCTTGGTGGCCAGTGCTAGCAGCCAGTGTTACTACCACATATCGCCTAGGTGTGGTGGCCAGTGCTAGCAGCCAGTGTTACTACCACATATCGTCTAGGTTTGACCTTGGTGGCCAGTGCTAGCAGCCAGTGTTACTACCACATATCCTCCAGGTTTGACCTTGGTGGCCAGTGCTTGCAGCCAGTGTTACCTACCACATATCCTCCAGGTTTGACCTTGGTGGCCAGTGCTAGCAGCCAGTGTTACTACCACATATCGTCCAGGTTTGACCTTGGTGGCCAGTGCTAGCAGCCAGTGTTACTACCACATATTGTCTAGGTTTGACCTTGGTGGCCAGTTCTTGCAGCCAGTGTTACTACCACATATCCTCCAGGTTTGACCTTGGTGGCCAGTGCTAGCAGCCAGTGTTACTACCACATATCGTCCAGGTTTGACCTTGGTGGCCAGTGCTAGCAGCCAGTGTTACTACCACATATTGTCTAGGTTTGACCTTGGTGGCCAGTGCTAGCAGCCAGTGTTACTACCACATATTGTCTAGGTTTGACCTTGGTGGCCAGTTCTTGCAGGCAGTGTTACTACCACATATCCTCCAGGTTTGACCTTGGTGGCCAGTGCTACTACCACATATCGTCCAGGTTTGACCTTGGTGGCCAGTTCTTGCAGCCAGTGTTACTACCACATATCCTCCAGGTTTGACCTTGGTGGCCAGTGTTTGCCCTAGCAGTCAGTGTTACCTACCACATATTGTCAAGGTCTGACCTTGGTGGCCAGTGCTTGCCCTAGCAGTCAGTGTTACCTACCACATATTGTCAAGGACTGACCTTGGTGGCCAGTGCTTGCCCTAGCCGCCAGTGTTACCTACCACATATTGTCAAGGTTTGACCTTGGTGGCCAGTGCTTGCCCTAGCAGTCAGTGTTACCTACCACATATTGTCAAGGTTTGACCTTGGTGGCCAGTGCTTGCCCTAGCAGTCAGTGTTACCTATCACATATTGTCAAGGTTTGACCTTGGTGGCCAGTGCTTGCCCTAGCAGTCAGTGTTACTTACCACATATTGTCAAGGTTTGACCTTGGTGGGCAGTGCTTGCCCTAGCAGTCAGTGTTACCTACCACATATTGTCAAGGTCTGACCTTGGTGGCCAGTGCTTGCCCTAGCCGTCAGTGTTACTTACCACATATTGCCAAGGTTTGACCTTGGTGGCCAGTGCTTGCCCTAGCAGTCAGTGTTACCTACCACATATTGTCAAGGTTTGACCTTGGTGGCCAGTGCTTGCCCTAGCAGTCAGTGTTACCTACCACATATTGTCAAGGTTTGACCTTGGTGGCCAGTGCTTGCCCTAGCGGCCAGTGTTACCTACCACATATTGTCAAGGTTTGACCTTGGTGGCCAGTGCTTGTCCTAGCAGTCAGTGTTACCTACCACATATTGTCAAGGTCTGACCTTGGTGGCCAGTGCTTGCCCTAGCAGTCAGTGTTACCTACCACATATTGTCAAGGTCTGACCTTGGTGGCCAGTGCTTGCCCTAGCAGTCAGTGTTACCTACCACATATTGTCAAGGTTTGACCTTGGTGGCCAGTGCTTGCCCTAGCAGTCAGTGTTACCTACCACATATTGTCAAGGTTTGACCTTGGTGGCCAGTGCTTGCCCTAGCCGTCAGTGTTACTTACCACATATTGTCAAGGTTTGACCTCGGTGGCCAGTGCTTGCCCTAGCAGTCAGTGTTACCTACCACATATTGTCCAGGTTTGACCTCAGTGGCCAGTGCTCCCGCTGTGTAGTTGCCCTGTGCCTGCATAGCCTGCATTGTAACTGGTTGGACCAGCTGCACTGCTGGCTGTGATATCAGGGTGAGTGGCTGAGTTGACATCAATGTGGCAGCTGATGTAGCCTGAGACACTGCTGCCATGGCCACCCCAGACTGACCAGTTGTGACCACCTGGCCAGCCATTACCTTCACAGGTTTCAGAGCAGCAGCATACTGGGGCGTCACCAGTGATGCTGCCTTTGATGCACCTGGAAAATAAGAGGTATTTAAGTGAATATATTACTATCCGAAATCTCTAACTAGAACCCGAAATCAGGGTTAGAATGGGCCGTCAGCATCCCATGCCTGTCGTAAGAGGTGACTAACAGGATCGGGTGGTATCATTGTATTCCAATTGCATTGATCCATGCTCATGCTGTTGATCACTGGACTGTCTGGTCCAGACTTGAATATTTACAGACTGCGGCCATATAGCTGGGATATTGCTGAGTGCTGTGTTAAACAACAGACAAACCAACCAACAACTCTAACTAGACCAATACTGCTATACTAAAATATGCCATGAATGTGGAATTTCCTCTAAATCAGTCTTGACGTTTCACACATATTTGTTACTTAATAATATTTAGAAGATCCTGACAGCTTAAATTGCGTATATGAATAAACTTCACTGATAGATTTGTGTGTAAGTGTAAGATGGACCAATAGTCTTCTCTCGTGAGTTCCATGTTATAACATCAAAAGCTCAGATAACATATCTCAACACTCTCTAACAATGCTGTTCCTACATTTATGAACATAGTCCAAGTACTATGGCTTCCTTACCCTGAGAAAAGTCAGCATTTTCTTTCTTAATTTCTAAGTGTGTCCCATTTGTTAAGGTGGTGCCTGCGATGGCTGGGCCATTAAGGATAACCTGTCCAGGGTTGGAGACAATGATCTGAGGTTTGGTGATGATGGGAGGCAGCTGGTGAATGGCTGTGCCATTGCTGGCTGTCACTGTCACTGGTGACAGCACCCGTGACCCTGAAATATGCATATACACTCTTAAGCATGGGTCTTGAATACAGGGTAAATGCAAACAAAGGCAATGTTGTAGGGTGCAAAGATTCATTGAGATTAGGAGCACTAAATATTTTGTGATAAAACAGTATGGGGTTGTGCATCCAACAAAATGAACTGCATGTTCTTATAGTGATTCAAATTTACTAAACAATGTTTGTGCATGTACCTCTTGTACCCAGGATTCCTAGGAGTTTTTCACATTAAGGAGTCATAATGATATTTTTAGGGTACAATCTCAGGTCAAATAATCCAATGTAAACTCATAAACTACTGGTATATAATGTCTTGTTTTATCATCACTAAGTCGAGCCACAAGATATGTTATGGTTCATAAAGGTTTGTTGTTTTCAGCAGTGACTACAGTCTAGATTCTCAGAAGAGAAAATATACAAATATAGCAAGTTTAATAAACTATTTTATCTACTTGCATCAATTCAATCTTTATAGAAAACCCCAAAATATATAACAGAATTAATATCTCAAGATGTTCACAATGAACATCTCTAATGGCATATATCTTTATATCTCCACTCTGGGAGAGTTGAGTGAAAGCAAGGTCAGATAAACATACAAAAGCAAAAGCAGCACCAGCAGTATCCATCTCTATGAAATAGCATTAGCTTGACAAACAAACTTTTCATGAAATATCAACATTACGTTTGATTGGGGTGAGTGGTGTTATTACTTGAATCTAAAGGACCTTATTACTGCACACACCTGCTGGAGAGCCTGGTGCTGATTGAGTAAATCTAAGTTCAGCAGCGATGGACTGAAGATTTGGCTGCTGCAGCTGATGAGGTGGTTGGAGATGACTTGACTGAGCCACTTCAGTTTCTGATGCTGCCTCAGGTATTGGACTACCTTCCCGAGACATGGAGTCGGGTGTGAATGCACCTGACATGTGGCTTGGGGAAGCTGGCGCTGACCTGGAAGTGAGAACAAGTCTGTGTGTAAGTTAGTCAGGCTACATCATACATGTCTGTAAATAATCAAGGCCTGACGAGGTAGGGTAGATCAATGGTTCACAGCATGAAGAACAATTTACACCTTCAGAGATGAAAACAGGTAAGCATGTCTTACGCAAAGACTCATCATCTTCAGGTACCCCTTGTAACCAGCATGATATTCAGTTCCTATCTTGATGCGGCATTCAAACAGGGCACTATCTACTATCAAAACAGTCTCTGAATTTCAGGCTAGTCTGATAGAATAGGGTACAAAACTGTGCTAAGACAAGTAAAAATCCACGTTGAGAGCCACATTGTGACAGACTTTAACCAAAAATCAACAAAGCTGACATGCTTGTTCTCTGGAATATTCCATTGATAAGACATCATTGATAACCCTATAATTCTGAACCTGTTAATCCCAAATCCCAAGTTTTCTATAACAATGATAATTGGTTATTTGTTTGTATAACAATGCCCTATAGCTGCTTCAGGTGTACTTGTGTAAATGCTTGTTCAGAATGGCAAGGGAAATTATGGCTGAGATTCAACAACTACAACCACAGCATGCCATCATAATGTTTAAAGATGGTTTCTGTTTTGGACACAAATCAGTACATATATCTAAGACGGTTATTACTACGCAAATTTACTGAACCAGAAGATCTCACTGGGACCAATACTGTCTGGAACAGAAGATCTCACTGGGACCAATACTGTTTTGACTGTAAGATCTCCTTGGGAAAAGTACTGTCTGGAACAGAAGATCTCACTGGGACCAATACTGTCTACATGGGACCAGTACTGTTTGGACCTGAAGATCCCACTGAGACCAGTACTGTTAAGACCTGAAGCTCTCACTAGCACCAATACTGTCTGGAACAGATGATCTCCCTGAGACCAGTACTAACTGGACTGGAAGATCTCCCTGGGACCAACTGTCTGAAATAGAAGGTCTCACTGGGACCAATACTATCTAGACTGGAAAATCTCCCTGGGGCCAATACTGTTTGGACCTGAAGATCCCACTGGGACCAGTACTATCTGGACTGGAAGATCTCACTTGGACCAATACTGTCTGAAACAGAAGATCTCACTGGGACCAATACTGTCTGGACTGGAATATCTCACTGGGATCAGTACTGTTTGGACCTGAACATCCCACTGAGACCACAAGTGTTAGGACCTGAAGCTCTCCTGGCACCAATACTGTCTGGAACAGATGATCTACCTGGGACCAGTACTATATGGACTGGAAGATCTCCCTGGGACCAATACTGTTTGGGCCTGAAGATCCCACTGGGACCAGTACTGTCTGGACTGGAAGATCTACCTGGGACCAGTACTATATTGACTTGAAGATCTACCTGGGACCAATACTGTTTGGGCCTGAAGATCCCACTGGGACCAGTACTGTCTGGACTGGAAGATCTACTTGGGACCAGTACTATATTGACTTGAAGATCTACCTGGGACCAGTAGTGCCTGGAACAGACGATCTCACTGGGACCAGAACTATCTGGACTGGAAGATCTACCTGGGACCAGTACTATATTAACTTGAAGATCTACCTGGGACCAGTAGTGCCTGGAACAGACGATCTCACTGGGACCAGTACTATATTGACTTGAAGATCTACCTGGGACCAGTAGTGCCTGGAACAGACGATCTCACTGGGACCAGAACTATCTGGACTGGAAGATCTACCTGGGACCAGTACTGACTGGAACAGACGATCTCACTGGGACCAGAACTATCTGGACTGCAAGATCTACCTTGGACCAATTCTGTTTGGACCTGAAGATTATACTGAGACCAGTACTGTTTGGACCTGAAGCTCTCACTGGGACCAATGCTGTCTGGGACAGATGATCTCACTGGGACCAGTACTGTCAGGACTGGAAGATCTACCTTTGACCAGTACTGTTTGGACCTGAACATACCACTCAGAGTAGTACCTTTTGGACCTGAATCTTCTCACTGGGACCTGGACATCCATTTCAGTGTATTGGAATGAGCATGTACAGTTTTATGGTGTTTTGCACTGTCCCAACAATACAAGAAATCAAGCAGCTGTGTGTTGGATCAAATTAGGATTTCTCCAAGATAAGTATCGGTATAGTTTTTAATTACTTGGATACCCCAACCATGTATTGGACAGGTCAGTAATTACTTGTCAGCGCTTGAAATACTACTCTACTCAGTAACAGGTCACATAAGAAAACCCACAGAATTCGAAGATCTCCATGACTTTGACACCCAAAGGAATATTGTGTGAACACTGAACACTAAATGAGTAAAGGGCGTTTCATGTCACTAACCGTGTTGAGAGTCCTCCAAACGGTGTTCGGAAGCAAGGCACGTGCCTCTGTCTCCGTCTCCTAAATGCTTGTGCTGTTAATTTAGCTTCAGATGCTGGGTCAATCCTCCAAAATGATCCTTTACCAGGTTCTTCTTGCGATCTTGGAACTTTCACAAAGTAGCGGTTCAATGAAAGATTATGACGGATTGAGTTCTGAAATAAAGAAATACTTACTATTAATTGGCCATCCAGATTACTGGAGTGAAAACATTTTGATATTACACAATCCCCAACCAAGACCATTAACTTTGTGCACAGACCAATGAATTAATCAATTCGTAAATATTAATACTGTGAGAACAATAGCACCATAGCATATGTGCCGAACATGCTATTCCTCAACCTCGGCAACCCTGAACAATCAATCCAAGTTGAGCTTTATTTCAAAGTTAATAAAAGGCTAACAATTATTGTGCACAACTTAATAAAAACATTTAACTCTTAAAGCTAACCTCATCAACCCAAACAAGCTGAATAGAGTCTCACCTGCCAGCCTTTGTCAGCTGTTCTATAATATGGATAATTTTTGGTAATAAAAGCATAAATTCCACTAAGAGTCAGTTGCTTATCAACTGCTGATGTAATGGCTTGCACTATTAGCTGGGCATATGAATACGGCGGCTTGGACTCATCCTTAGGTCCATCCCCACAGGCAGAAACTACTTGAGCGTCTTTGTCATCCTTAGGATCAGCTGCAGCAAACACAGCATTTAAATCAGGAACAAAACTACGATGACTAGCTCCACCTCGAGGACTGGTAGGACAGGAGTTGGCGGCACTGAAACCATAAAAGTGAGTAAAAATATAGACCCACATGTATACATAAAGTAGTAATTCAAACAGATTTATACCCGATAAAAAAGTCATAGTAATAATAGTGATAAAATTTGATAGTGTTGTTAGGGTGTAATTTAAGGTTTGTTTAAGTCATGGTCTTTATATCAATGTTATTTCAAGGCACATGCTGACTTTTTCAAATCAAGATCCATAATTCAAGGCCTTTTCAAGCCTGTGCACACCATGTAAGAGTGAGTGAGGTTTTACGTCACTTTTAGCAACGAATGGCTTCACAGATAGTGCCCTTGGGGAATCGATGAAGAAACACTTTAACCACTACCCCACCATTTAAAAGCCAGTGGTTGTAATGACCCATACATCAGCATGACCACTCAATTCATGTTTGCCTCTAGTGCTCCTACAAGTGTGAACATATTACTTAATCAAAATGTCCTGCCAAATTACTTTCAAAGCTTCATGCCATAAAGTTAACTTGGTTAAGCACTGAAAATATACATTTAGACGAAAACACTTAAGTGGGTAAACAAAAAGAAAACATCTTTGACTCTGGGGATTCTTTTCTTTTGTTAATTTACTTTGCAACATTAAAAGTCACATTTTATATTTGGGCGTTATTCCACAGGTTACAAAGTACACCATCTGATAATTATTATATGGTATGAGTTTGATTATACACATACAATCAGACAGGGTATACAACACAAACAGCACATCTAAATAACCTGGGAAAATCCAGGTTAGAACTGATCTTCAGTAACCCATGCTTCTTGTAGGAAGAGCAGGATTGGGTGGCCAGACTCGTTGTCTTGGTTGACACATCATTGTATCCCATTGTGTAGATCAATGTTCATTATGTTATTCACTTGACTGTCTGGTAGCGACTTGCTTATTTACAGACTGCTGTCATATAGCTGCCATATTGCAGCACTAAACAACAATATCAACTCAATACATGTTGTTTACCTTATCGTGCCTGTGGGAGAAGGACATGGGCTGCTGGCAACTGGCTCCACTTTAGGTATGTCTATCTTCAGGGGAGCTAATGCTGCCTTCTTCTTTGGGGAGGCATTCCCTGGGCTTTGTGCAGGGGGTGGAGGGGTTTCTTCTACCAGAGAATGGAATACTATTTTGATATTGGTACTTGGGAAGCGAAGTATGCACCTGAAAACACAAAACATTAGAAATATATTGAAATCATTACATGGTACATCAACAGTAATCACTTCATCTCCAGTTGAAATTACAAATCAACTTCTTAGCTTTTGAACATAATAGGAAGACATGTCAGTTATTGGATGTGGTGACAATCTCACATACAAGTGTTGAAATAAAACACTGTACAGCCTTTAAATCAATAAATCCCCCCCCATGTGGCCAATGTTCATGCTGAGGTTCAGCACATTTGGCTTAAGAAAATTTAACACTACTTTCACACATCCGGGTACATTTCTGTTTCTTTTCTCAAATACACCTACTATGTCCTAGTGCAGGCTACACTTAAAAACTGACTGCACAAGGCATGTACTGGCTGCAGCACTTATTCCACTTCAAAATTTCAATAAAAAAGACATGATGAAATCTTGGCAAGTATTATTCTGCTCATCAAACTAGACATTTCTTTAAAAGTAATACTAAAGTTACCTTTACCTGAAACAAGTACATTTCCATTTCAACATTACTGCAACACGTGGTTATGATCACTTCATAATGAAAAACATGTCATTATCAATCATGATCATCTGGCAAACAAGACTCTGATTCTGACCCAGTAACAAATGCATTCATGTTGCAATATTTGCAATAACCTACTCTACAACAACATACTTTCTTCGTCAAGAGTTAGCTAATTCCAACCCTCACTCGATGCATTCTATGTCTTAACCTTTATCATGTGCTTAAAATCCAAAGGTGTCTGTGATAATGTCCTACTAGGCTACAGCTTTTCTGGGTAAAATTTAGCTGCTGTAAAATATAAGGTGTAAATTGTAGGCTTACACATAAGTAAAATTAACAATTTATGATCAGCTATGCCATCACGCCTTGACGTTGGGCATCTTATCAGTTACACAGGCATAATGTGTACTGTGACAAACTTCATCTTTTTTAATAAAAGAGAAAGAGTCTTTCAGCTGTCTTCATTCTAACATCATCATAATGCTCTAGAATCACATACTCTTAAAAAAAGGATGTGATACTCCAAAATAACTTAACATTTCCAAAATTGTAAGCAAACATTAGTTGCTAGTAATAGCTGTAATGGCGAATGAACATATTCAAACTGAAAGGAAATGGCAATGGACTGCAAAGGTAAGAAGGGAAATTTCAAAGTTGATGCTTTTGGATCACAAGAGCATAATGCCACCAGGATTTATCAAACATTCATTCACTCAATTTCTGCCAGTTTTCACTTTCAGTATAACAATAGTCCATAGACTTGGTGAATTGCAGTTGCTGCATTGCTACTGCGTAAAATGGATGAATTGAAGCAAACACTACTGTATGATGAACAGCTCTTTTGGTGTTGACACTTAAGGAAAGAAAACATTTTTGCAGAGGTAGTTTGTTGCCAATGCACATGTTTCTTGAAAAACTTTTGAAGTAAAACCATTAATGCTTCATGATCCCCTACGTGTTAGGAGTATAAATCTTTCATACAAAGTCTATTTTTATGGTCAAACCATCCTGATATCACCATAAGGACATAAACCGTCATGACATGCAGATCTCCTTATGGTTCAGAAGCCCTTGGAAACCTACAATATTCAGCCTTCATTTTTAGCCCAATGAGTGAACTGAACGATTCTTTGGTTTGTCATTTTCTGTTTTCCATATAGCAATACATGTAAATGTAAAATTGTTTTGAAATACTTGAATGGCTTGTGCGTATATGAGAAGTCATGTTACGATTGATGTGAGTATTTGGTGAATCAAATCGTATCGATTCATGAATTCAATTAACCAGAATGAAATATTTACGAATATGTTTAAGAGGGTATTTTTACTTGGAACTAGTTTGTTGTTAATCTAAGTGAGATACGCAAAATGGAATATTTCCAAGACAAGGTTGAAGCAGTAGTGTAACTTGTGTTATTAGGCTATAGGCGACATTGTTTGTGATGCATGGCTTTTTATGTGCTTTTAGAAAATGTCATTTAAATGTTAAGGTAACCAATAACATGTCATATTTGTTATTTTAATTCCTAGATATTACCCATAAAGTATTCATGAAAACTATTTGTACTTGTTACTATATATTTGTGACATGTGTTTGTCAATAATTTATTCTCATTGTTTAGCCCTATACAACAGATTGACAATCTGTACTGTAAGTAAACTGGATGTAAGAGGTGTTCATATTTCAGATTGTTTAGATTTTGTATACATGTTATTTTTAAAACTGAAGTAAGTGATATCCGTTAGGTTGACATTTTACATATAAACATGTACAAGATGTAAAAAATTGCAAAAACAGCCACATGTCCATCATGCTGCCCTGTAATCAGTGGTCCACCAAACTCAAAATATCATTCTAGCACGAAATTGTGTGATACTCGATTCTGATTGGCTGAGAGCTCATCAAAACCATACTTAAATGGCAACTTAAGACCACCAATTAAAGTGACCAATTCACAGCTTATGAATACAATGAACTCATTGACCCTTTTGTTTGTAAACAAACATGTCGGCAGCATCTTTGATGTTTTTGAAGTAAAAAGCGATTGGTTTAAAAAAGAATTTCTTGTCAGTAATCCAAGTGAACAAACTATGAAGCTGGAAAATTCGTCAGCAGCACAAAAGCGACAGTATTCAAACCGGGTCTAGATCTAGCGGTCATGACGTCGACAACACACGTCGGCCCACACGTCTTAAACCTGACCGCTTCCGTCCTGGCCGTAATGCCCAGTCCTTCCACTGTCCACGTATCCCACATAAAATGTGGCATGTCAGGTCTTTTCCAAATTGGGAATAGTAGGGTGGTCATCAATAATTATTTCCGTGAATAAAATTAGCGACGACTAAACTTAGCGAGTTCACGGCTTGAATTGGGGCGAGTCGATTGTCATACAGTAGGGGGATTTTAATAATTCGCTTGAGAAAAATCAAATAATTGTACTTGCTCACAGTATAAACTGTATTTTTTATTTATGTATGCTACTTGTTACAAATACAAACGTATGGTTCCTGAAATAAAGGAATAAGTTGTTGAAAATGTCTTATTTTGTTCATTACACAACCTGTCCCTCAACGGGACGATTCCATGCGATTTCCAGGAAAAAGGCCCCTTTACGCCTTGTGTTCTTGCGCGCCAAACAGTTTGGTTTTAAAATGCTCATCAGTCATGCTAGAATGGAGATAAAGCTGCTCTGTTTTCAATTTTGTGGTCCTTTATCATATATTTAAGGCCGCTAAATGTAAATTAAAAATTGAAAGCGTTATCTTCTAAGTATGAATTAGTTTAATGCAACTAAACACACGTTTTCCAGCTCAAACAATGTTACTTTTTTTTGGTTAGTTGAAATACTGGCTCTTATGCAGTGTGTGAGATAATATTACATTAAAAAAAACAAAATTAAATGCATACAAACAAGCACTGTCACTAAGGTGACATAATCCCCTGCCGCAAATTATCAAATCAAACTTATAAAGTAATGAAAGTTTAAGATGAAGTTAAATGTCAACAAAAACATTATCTTGCTCTTAAGTTGTTCAAACACACACATATTTTGCTTATTGAAAAACATTCAAGGGAGGTCTTGAAAGTCTATGAAGAAAATCCAGTGAACCGTTCTTAAAATATCTTGCTGACAATTCAGGTTAACATTCTGAAATCTTCATAGTGTCATCGTGACCCTACAAATTATGTGAAGGTCACTAGATGAAGCTTGGTGTCAAATATGAAGAAAATCCACTGAATATTTTTTGCGATATATTGCTGACTATCTTAACAAGCAATTTAACATGCTGAAATCTTCAAAGTGTCTGTGACCTTGAAACTTAAGTGAAGGTCACCAAAATCGACTGGGCCCTGCGCCTTCCCTGGATGAAGCTTGGTGTCAAATATGGAGAAACTCCAGTGAATGGTTCTTGAGGTATCTCGCTGACAAGCATAACATGTAGTTTAATATGCTGAAATCTTCAAAGTGTCTCTGTGACCTTGAAAATTAAGTGAAGGTCACCAAAATTGACTGGTCCCTGCACCTTCCCTGGATAAAGCTTGGGGGTGAATATGAAGAAAATCCAGAGAACGGTTCTTGAGATAGCTTTACATGCAGGTTTACATGCTGAAATCTTCAAAGTGTCGCCATGACCTTGAAAATTAAGTGAAGGTCACCAAAATCGACTGAGCCCTGCGCCTTCCCGAGATAAAGCTTGGTATTGAATATGAAGAAAATCCAGTGAACGGTTCTTGAGATAGCTTAACATGCAGGTAAAACGTGAAAGTCCCCTTGTGACCTTGAAATGAAGGTCAAGGTCACCAAACCTGACTTGGGCCTTTCTTATAGTGTGATGAACCCAGGTACCAAATATGAAAAGAATCTAGTAAACGGTTCTTAAGATATTCCAATTCGTACATACATACGTCCGTCCGGAGCCTAATACTATATCCCCCGCTTCACGCTAAACACGCGGTGGGGGATAACAAGACAGTTATCTTCATCACATATTGGTATTTAGCACTCACATGAGAACGCAATATATGTCAGGGTAGTGATTGCGATCGGAGTCTCTACCAGTAGAGACTCTGATCATATAGAATAACCTACGCATTCGCAATCTCTACCAGCAGAAGCTCAAATCTGATCCTACTAGTAGAAATTGCAATCTAAGTGAATATTTAGAAAAACAAAATTTATTTTCATATTTTGTAGAATGACATCTTACACTGAAAGTGCACACTGTTTGTCCAACTTGATGTTTGTTACAAACAAAATGAAAATAAAACATTGTTACTTTGTTTTCATTTATGATTGTTATTGTAATGTAAATAAATGTAACTCCAAAACTAGTAACTAGCTGGTGTAATTGTAATATCAAACTACTGACAATATTTTTGTGTTGGACACAATTATCTCTCAATATTTAGCACTTCATTATTAAGTTTAGAGTTTTTCAACTGATTTAAAACGTATTTTCAGGTAAAGTTTGTGTCTCACTAAATAAAGGCTTTATTGATTTATTTGAGTGATCGACAGGGCTGTCAGTTGTCACCCTAATCGAAGAAGGACGAAAGATCGGCCTAGCATGGAGCGAAAGATTATGCCCTTTTTGTATATCACTATCAATATCACTTCTGCTTAGAATGTAATTTTTATAATAATCTTCGTCAGCCACTGCTCCCTAAGTACAGTCATCCCTCGCAATAACACTCTTCGCGATGCCGCGGATTCGGTTAAACCACGGGGTAATCCGTGGCTCCCATAAAAAAGTTGCCCAGTGATCACACATACACGTCATCGAAAATAGCACATCAACAAACCCGATGTTGAGCTCTGGTTAATCACGTTGTAAACTAGTGAAATTCAGTGCAGACTGCAATTAACAGTGTTTATCATACATATCCATGTTTTTTCAGATGTTTAAAACATGCAGGGTTTTTTTCAATAACAATAGATGAACAGCGAATCATCGTAATAACTTCATCATAAAGACATGTCATCAGCCGAGTACTTACGTTTGCTATGATGCAACACAACATGTAATTGCGCGGGTAAACACCGCCATCCGAGAATGTATGATGTCAGAAAACACATTTTATTGATTAAATTCAATCCCATTTTAATTCATTAAAAGTGTTTACAATAACAATGGAGAAACCGTTAGTGAAATGGCATTACCTCATTCCATACAACACCCGATTACCACATTCGTGAGGGTCCGTTTTTCACGCCTACTGCGATAGCACACATTTCACATTTTTTTCAGCAATCACAGCCTTGTCATCCATTGACCCTAAGACCCGCCTTATCGACTCATTGAAGTCATATTTGACAATTAATTGCGAACATTTTGTTTTTACAATCAAAGTGGCACGTACCGCAGGAAGTCAGCGGTGACTTGTCAAACTGTCGCCTACGTAAAATGTATCCAGCCAGGTAACCCAAAGTGCTTAGCAATGCTAATTATTATGTTAAATATGTTCGTAGAAAACATGCATTATACTTATACGATAGCAATATATAAGATCTCTGTTAGAATAACTGCTTGACATATAAATTATTCTGATAATTGAATAGAAATTCTTTGATGTTATATTTTCGGATCGTTTTTAACTGAATCACCGGTACATTAGACCACAACACCGATCTGTGCCCAGCTGATTGCTATTTCCGGCTTAGTTGAATAACAGGTAGCATGACAGGAACAACAATTGAATTATCATGTCTTGTGATGTTTGATTGCAAGTTTCATGTACATACATCTATTTTCATTTACGAAGTTTGGGGTCTTTTTTCACCTCCAACAATACGATATAGTTTTGACTGGGCACAATACACAAAATAGCAGTTTTGTTATGTCCATGGAAAATATGATTTAACTTGGCTTTTGTTCCGAGTTATGTAATCGTTACTATAATGCGGGTGTCTAATAGCGTGTGTGTGTCATCCATGGACCCCAAGACCTGCGTTATGGTGAGGGATGACTGTATTATTACTCTTCTCCATCTCTCCATAAATGTGTACAATTGTTGTCATCTTATAATGCTTCTCTACTTAATAATCTAGCTAAATATGTATTTCTAGCTTTTAAGAAACATCCACAATTTCTCAACTGAATTGATGCAATGTGGTAATTTATCTTATTTTATCTCAACTCTTATACATCATATTCTATGTACCTGTATAATGGGCTGGTGGCCCCTTTACTGAAATAAACACAGTTTCAATGGAAACAGTCTAGTGCTATATCTGAATAAAATGCATATTTTTGTTCATCAAGGAAAGTGTCTTTGTTGTTTGCCCACAGATCAATCAGAGTTTCTACCATTTGAATTGGAAATTGTACTGGTAGAATCTCCGACTGTACCAGTAGAGACTCTGATTGCAATCTCTACCAGTAGAATCTCTGATCCTACCAGATCGCAATCTCTACCCTGACATATACATTATTATAATTTATATGATGTTACAATACAATACATGGCTCTTATACATTTACATGCTTGAACCGTATGCATGTTAAGTGCAAATTGGTTATATGAATATATGTAATCTGCCTAGGTTAACATGGTAAAAAGGTAACCAATCAAAACTAATGTAGCTCTGAAACGTGACCTGCCCAAAAACATATTCCCATTTGAATATCATCCATGACAACTCTTAAAAAATAGAATTTATTTTCAAAACTAATTTGCAGACAAAATCCAAAACATCTGTAACAAACATCTTAAGTTGCAGTCCTATAGAACTAAATGAACCCATTTTTGTGGTTACAATCCTTGGAAGAATCACCTTTGCCCAGAGTCAGCTTGTTGAAACATGACAATAAACATAACAGGCGATGACAGAATCTCACACAGCTTTATACAGTTGGTCTGTTATCAGCCGAGGTCAGACGGAAATCACAAGGTCGTCCTTTTACAACATGAAAAATGCTATCAATAAACAAATAAGTTGCACTGATAAAATGACCAAATATTCGGATGCAATCTTTCCTTATGTCTCCATATTACTGGATTCAGCTTTCATCATTCTTATTTCACATCGCACACATCTACATTATGAAAACATCAAAATATCAGCTTAATATTAAATTATTTATAGTACAGGGGCCCGTTTCACAAATCGCTAGTGGTGCTACGACTGTTGTAAGTCTATGTTAAAGCCACCTTAGCGTTACGATCGCTTTGTGAAACGGGACCCAGGCAAACACTAGATAAATTGTGCATCAATTCACAAATGAAAATAAGACTAGATGTCAAAACTAGATAATTTTGAGTTGGCAAAAAAGATATTTCACAGAGAAGGTTCAATTTATTATATGAGCTGTCACAAAACAAATTCTTTTAGATTAGCATGATTAGTGTGTGAGATCATCATGATGGTCAGTCAAGTCACAGACTGTTTTATCTTCAGTGTCAAACAGACACAATCACACATTATCCTGACAACTAGAGTATTTAGTAATAATTTACCATATTTATAATGTCAATAAAGATAAGAAGTGCTATTTTTTCTAAAATGGTAGATTTACACTGGAAATAATTTCATCACACATAAAAAATGCAGGAATAACAGTTTTTCTGAAAAATGCAGATTTGGTTCTACAGAAGTCAATGAGATTTTTTCAAGCATATCATACACAGCTTACATATTATTTACAAATTTATTGCTTACATGGTTAATGTTTATTCATCAACTGATGTAAAAAATGATCACACATCAACTATGATTCAAACATAAAAATAAGAACTGGACAATCATGATCCAACAAATGGGTTGAAACTGATAACACAATGATGTCATGTACACTATTAATGTGTAATTAGGTTGATTTGATGTATTACTCACTATTACTCACAATTGTCTACACTGCTTTGCTGGATACAAACAGATCATGTTGATGTGGGCCATCCACTCAACAATATTAATACATTGTTGATGAAACATTATGATTATAAATCATTTATAAAAAAATTACTCCAGCTACAAAATAACTGTTTGTTCTCAGGATATTTAGATATTCCAGAGCCTTCCAGTCTTACATCATCTAAAATATGTATTGCCACAGCAATGTGAAGTTTCGTGACAAATCAATAAAACAAACAAAATAATTTAGTTCCGTGGACACTTAGAAATACGTTAACCCTTAAATAAAGCCGGGAATACAAATACGCAAGCTAAGGTGACCTCATGAGGACCAGTTTCCAACTGTCAAAACACATACATCCTTCTGACCATCTATTATGCATCTGATTACCATATCATTGCCATCTGCCATTAGCCATAACCTTAATAAAAGAACCAACAAACATACAGTTGTCTGGTGTAATGATGCGAGACTCCAGTCATTAAAATCAATGTAAGACCAGACACCGGTATCTTCTATTTTTGTTTACATAGCCGCCATGATGAATCGAGCACATGGTAACAAGGTTATCAACACCGCGAAGAAAAACGCCTAAAACGAAATAAACGTACAAGATTTCGTTAAGACATTGGGGAAGATAATTGACCTGACATTTAAGCTACCATAAGAATGACGAATCAAGTGACGATAACACGTCAGATATCGCTCGCGGCATAGACATGCCGGCAGTTGAGGCGGGCACTTGCAAAACAAAACAACTTACGATCGAGGAAGTTGCAACGGGGGTGCTCCTTTCCGCTGGAAAATGCCATCTATAAACACGCCGTTTTTCCCGTTGCATTTCATGTAGAAATTAGGCTGATCATAGAATATTTCAAGATGCACCCTGGATATGAAGCTCGAATGTCCCATATTGACATCCACTTCGCCTTTACTGCTATTGCGACCAATGGTGATGCGATTTCCCCGCATCATGTATTCGAAGTCCCTGCCTTCTAACCGCGCGATGGCGGTTCCCTTCGATTCTGGGGTCCATGAAATTTTGGATGGACTTGCCGGGGCTGACTTGAGGGCCAATAAGGCATATGCGTCGTTATCCGACGGTTGAGTATACGCAGACATTGTGAATGACTCGTGTTTTCCAACACCAAAATGGAGGAAAACAACTTGCCTGTTTACATCAAGAACTACACCCACAATGCACCGCGAAAGCGTGGCCACGGCATGGGAGAACATTGTGCTATTTTCAACACTACTGTTATTCAACATACTTGTCAGCGGTAAAGCCGGTTCGTGCAGACTGAGACGCATTGTCTTACTAGCAAAAGTACGTTATTTGAAGGAATTATTAAAATCATGTTATAAAACACTTTTCAGATCCATGTAGATCCATGTAGATCCATGTCTCTTACATTAATTGATCTTAATGACATTTTCAAACAAATAGTTTTACAACAACTGAAAGGATTTCAGTCATTTTGAAAGTGTTAGCAATGAAATGATCTTGTTTGATAAGAACGAATACATAGACATACTTGTCGAAAAATCAGTTATTAATGTAATTAATAATTTAAACAGAAAAACGATCTACTGAAATCGCAAAGCGCATCAACCAACTGACTATACCTGTTTCAAACTTTATGAACTAATCATTCTTTAATGGGAATTGGGTAGGCATGTGGATTTGAAATTAAGAAAGGAAAATAACAATAAACAAATATATAATGTAACTAGCGCTTAAGAAATGCTTTCAACGGTACAAATCTCTCCTAGATTCCAATCGTGAACATATCTCATATTTCAAAACTAGGTTTGTCGTTCACGTAAATGCTAGTACCCAATCCTATTGACCTAATATTAATATGTAGGTTTTTCAGAATAATATTTATAAGCTGACGAATAAGCAACGTGATATTGTACGACTGCTTCCACAGACAACGAAGCTCCCGAAGAACGATGTCCAACCATGTGACAGGTAAGAAAACTCGCAGATGTGTATTATTACTTATCCTAGCATGCTATGTAAATGAAGCAATGTGACGCGAGTGTGTGGTACAACAAGCAGGTTATCGCTACCTGGGGATAATCTATTTGTGATGTATTCCACACCAGCCAAAAGATAAAATGCGCGTACTCAGGTAATCTGCGCCGAACTACATATGATTGTATTTACGCGATGCCGGTATTAATTTGTGAAGCGTTAAAATAATCTGAGATAAGAATCGTTATGCTTTGTCTGAATTTGCATTCTGCTCTCATCGCAATTTTTATTTTCATTAAAAAAAGTTATGTGATATTTAACATTTATTTTTATATAAATTAGTTCTACTAGGTGTTGACCTTGTAAGTTACGTTTGTCTTAAGCATGCGGTATTTTAATTGATATTATCGATAAGACAAAGAAAGATTGCACAATTACCCTTTCAATCGAAAATTAGAAATCGTAACTATTCACTGCTGGACCGTTTACAATACTTTGAAGTAATAATATGTCGCGTGGACAACAGTACTCAGTCAATCGCCGGGTCTCAGCCAGTCCGTGACCCAGATACATCTTTGACCTACTTATATATATACAGCTGAGGTTTATGTTTGTTTACAAGCCGAGGCCAATGTAACCGCTGTGCGCTGCCGATTTGAGCCGCTCGTTGTAAAGGATTAATTGTGGAACGTAATAACTGCAGTGAATATGAGCACAGTCACCCAGTTATCTGACATCGAATGGAATAAGAGAATATTGGGGAAGGTTGTCTAAATAAAGGGTAATCTATTTGTATTCAGAGTGCATTGAGGTAATTACTTTTCACCGCTGGATGCAAAAAAAGATAGGCATGTTGACAAGTTTGCCAAGCGAAGGTAGAGTGGGATAGTGCACAATGGCATTTACACGCGACAGAGCATTTTCTCACATTAATTGAAATAATTAAATGCATTACAAATAAAATTATAGGAAATCAATTAATTAATTGATACAAATTATATGTGATATTTGGTTTTAGCTTCGTGAAAAGGATTTGCATATTTCCGACGAAAAATCTCGGTTGCTGGATAAATATGGAAGCGTTTTATCTATATGATTGTCGCTTGAACATTCAATTTATTTAATAATTGTCAATAACAACAACGATCAAAACAACTTAATTACACATGTCTTGACTTTGCACCAGCTTTAAGGACAATTCCGACAATATCACAGAAATTGCCTTCAAACTTTGTACACCTGTGGGGAATCAAACCCGGACCCCTGGTCCGACGAGCGAACGCTGCAGCCACTGTGAACACAGCGTCCCACCCAATACAACGTGACCGTTGTCTCCGCACGTGGTATATAGTGGATATAGAGCGTCTGTCCAGAGGGCGGAACCGTGACGGTGGTTCGATCCCTGGCAGTATCAACCCAAATGAAAATGATACTGCCTGGAGCTCGACATATATAACAAGGAATATAACAAGAATTGGCCGGCTCGATCCGAACCTGAGAGGGATATCCTTGTAGAACCAATGCATGATATCTTAGTGAGCTAGCACTGATCAACGTTGACTAAACCTAGACTCTACCCCCTTCCCCCTCTCTATCACACACACACGCAACAACAAACACATACATATGTTTCATACTAGGTCGGCGTACGTAATAAGGCGTGATGACACATGCAGCTGTCTGTCAAACTCCACGAAACAGGGTCGACACATTTGGTAGGCGATGATGACATTAATGTCTGTCAACCTCAGCTTTGGCTGTGTCATACAAGGTTACCAGGTCGACACACTTTATAAGACGTGATGACATACCGCTGTCTTCCAACTTTCGCTTTGACGGCCTCGTACAAGATCAACACGTTCTGTATATCATGCATCTGTATGTCAACCTCCATTTCGCCTGCGTCGTACACGGTCTTCATCAGATGTGATGACATGTAGCTGTCTGTGTCGACCCTGTGTGGAGCAGTCAAACCGGAGGCTGACAGACAGCTACATGTCATATGAAGTCCGTTGACACTGCATGTATGGCGCAGGTAACGCGGGGGTTGACAGACAGCTGCATGTGTCATCACGTCGGATAAAATGCGTCGACCTTGTATGGCGCAGACAAAACGGAGGTTTATAAGACGTGATGACATGCAGCTGTGTGTCAACCTCCGCTTTGCCTGCGCCATACAAGGTCGACATACTTTACATGTTATGCAGTTGTCCGTCTGCCTCTGGTAGGCCTGCTTCATACAAGGTCGACACACTTTACATGTTATGCAGTTGTCCGTCTGCCTCTGGTAGGCCTGCTTCATACAAGGTCGACACACTTTACATGTTATGCAGTTGTCCGTCTGCCTCTGGTAGGCCTGCTTCATACAGGGTCGACATACTTTACATGTTATGCAGTTGTCCGTCTGCCTCTGGTAGGCCTGCTTCATACAGGGTCGACACACTTTACATGTTATGCAGTTGTCCGTCTGCCTCTGGTAGGCCTGCTTCATACAGGGTCGTTTTACATGTTATGCAGTTGTCCGTCTGCCTCTGGTAGGCCTGCTTCATACAGGGTCGACACACTTTACATGTTATGCAGTTGTCCGTCTGCCTCTGGTAGGCCTGCTTCATACAGGGTCGACACACTTTACATGTTATGCAGTTGTCCGTCTGCCCTGGTAGGCCTGCTTCATACAGGGTCGACACACTTTACATGTTATGCAGTTGTCCGTCTGCCCCTGGTAGGCCTGCTTCATACAGGGTCGACACACTTTACATGTTATGCAGTTGTCCGTCTGCCTCTGGTAGGCCTGCTTCATACAGGGTCGACACACTTTACATGTTATGCAGTTGTCCGTCTGCCTCTGGTAGGCCTGCTTCATACAGGGTCGACACACTTTACATGTTATGCAGTTGTCCGTCTGCCTCTGGTAGGCCTGCTTCATACAAGGTCGACACACTTTACATGTTATGCAGTTGTCCGTCTGCCTCTGGTAGGCCTGCTTCATACAAGGTCGACACACTTTACATGTTATGCAGTTGTCCGTCTGCCTCTGGTAGGCCTGCTTCATACAGGGTCGACACACTTTACATGTTATGCAGTTGTCCGTCTGCCTCTGGTAGGCCTGCTTCATACAGGGTCGACACACTTTACATGTTATGCAGTTGTCCGTCTGCCTCTGGTAGGCCTGCTTCATACAGGGTCGACACACTTTACATGTTATGCAGTTGTCCGTCTGCCTCTGGTAGGGCCTGCTTCATACAGGGTCGACACACTTTACATGTTATGCAGTTGTCCGTCTGCCTCTGGTAGGCCTGCTTCATACAGGGTCGACACACTTTACATGTTATGCAGTTGTCCGTCTGCCTCTGGTAGGCCTGCTTCATACAAGGTCGACACACTTTACATGTTATGCAGTTGTCCGTCTGCCTCTGGTAGGCCTGCTTCATACATGGTCGACACACTTTACATGTTATGCAGTTGTCCGTCTGCCTCTGGTAGGCCTGCTTCATACAGGGTCGACACACTTTACATTTTATCCAGTTGTCCGTCTGCCTCTGGTAGGCCTGCTTCATACATGGTCGACACACTTTACATTTTATCCAGTTGTCCGTCTGCCTCTGGTAGGCCTGCTTCATACAGGGTCGACACACTTTACATGTTATGCAGTTGTCCGTCTGCCTCTGGTAGGCCTGCTTCATACAGGGTCGACACACTTTACATGTTATGCAGTTGTCCGTCTGCCTCTGGTAGGCCTGCTTCATACAGGGTCGACACACTTTACATGTTATGCAGTTGTCCGTCTGCCTCTGGTAGGCCTGCTTCATACAGGGTCGACACACACTTTACATGTTATGCAGTTGTCCGTCTGCCTCTGGTAGGCCTGCTTCATACAGGGTCGACACACTTTACATGTTATGCAGTTGTCCGTCTGCCTCTGGTAGGCCTGCTTCATACAAGGTCGACACACTTTACATGTTATGCAGTTGTCCGTCTGCCTCTGGTAGGCCTGCTTCATACAAGGTCGACACACTTTACATGTTATGCAGTTGTCCGTCTGCCCTGGTAGGCCTGCTTCATACAGGGTCGACACACTTTACATGTTATGCAGTTGTCCGTCTGCCTCTGGTAGGCCTGCTTCATACAAGGTCGACACACTTTACATGTTATGCAGTTGTCCGTCTGCCTCTGGTAGGCCTGCTTCATACAAGGTCGACACACTTTACATGTTATGCAGTTGTCCGTC